GAATTTGTCTAGTTTCAACTTCCACCCACTGGTTCTTGTTATACCTCTGTCTGTTAAGCAATGTCTACACTATAAAGTTAAGTCAACTTAAGTTACGTCAATATACAGCCACTGCTGTAATTAAACCGCGGTTGCATGTCCACACTATACTCCTTGTGTCGGCAGGACTGGCCACAGGGTATTTTGGGAAGGGTTTGCAATGCCTCCTGGGGCCAGGTTCAGTGTCACATGATGCAGGTTTCTCAATCCCATTGTTCCATGGGCATCCTACTAGGTTTCCAGCTGCTTTTCAACTGCCCTGATAACCTTTGAGCCAGCCATCTGTGTCAGAAAGCATGGATCCTGCACTGCTCTTCAGTATTGTGCTGAGCATTATAAACACAAGGCTATAAGAGAAGCTAAACGGAGGGAGGAGGGCTATTCACCACCATTCTGACCCCAGCCCCTCCTCATAGAAGCGGTATGTTTGTGGCTCTGCACCAGAGGTGACTATTTGCCTTCCTTGCCTTCTGATATGCCTGCCACAGCTCTTTGATTTGTACACGGCACTGCTGCATGTCCCTATCGTAGCCCTTCCCCTCCATGCCCTGAGCAAGTTCCTGTGGCTGGGAAGGCAGCTGTACCTGCACAGCCTCCTCTCCCCACAGACCCAGGAGATCCACCACCTCAGCTGGGCAATTGCTATGTGAGCTCTCCACACCGAGGAAAAAGGAAGAGCAAGTTCAAAACTTCCCAGGGCTTTAACGGGGGAGGGGTGTCTACTTGTATACCTGGTTGCAGAGCAGTGGAGTTCAAAACAGTGACCTGAATAGTCATGTTGGGCATTGTGGGATATCTCCTGGAGGCCAGTTATGTCAACGTAAGTAACGCAGTGTTTACGCTGACACTGAACTGCTCTAACTACGTCGCCCTAAGCTCTATGCTTTTTGTCAAAGTGGTTTTATTATGTCGGCATAGCAGGCGAGTTAAAGTGGCAGAAGGAGCATTGCAGTGTGTACACCTCCATAGTTAGGTCAACATAAGCTGCCTTATATCAAGAAAGCTGTGCAGTTTAGACATGATCTTAGTCTGAAGAGGCCTCTATTATCAAATTTCTGTTCAATATGTAGGTTCTTATAGACTGATCAAATCACCCCTTAATATTCTCTTTAAAAATCTAGATTGAGCTCCTGGAGTCACTCTCTATAAGGCATGTTTTCTAATCCTTGAATTGTTCTAGTGGCTCTTGTCTGAAGCCTCTCCAATTTATCAACATCCTTCTTGAACTGTGGTCCGCTTTGGGACTTTATTCTGATTGCACATAACAAACGTGATCCAGTCATGATCACTTCCACCTAATCCCAGCAGGGGCAGTGAGTTGTATGCTCCACCAATATGAGAGCACGGGGGACTGGCTCCACCAAAGTTCAGAGCCGGGCCTCTCCCCCAGCCCCGCCTGCGGCCTCCATGCCCCTCCTCCGGAGCATCCCTCCTAGCCTTTCCTGCCGCCCCTGGGCAATTTAAAAGGGCCGCCGCCACCACCACCAGCAGCACAATGGGGCTAAGGCAGCTTCCCGCCCGCTCCGCTCTGCTTCCGGAAGCGGGTAGCATGTCCCTGTGGCCCCTGGGGGGGGGTGGGGGAGAAGGACCCATTCTGGGCACCACCAAAAGTTATACAAACCTGCCGCCCCTGTTGCTTAAGTCCTTTTTATCTGTCAAGAGGTCTAATTTAGAATTTCCCCATCTTAGATGCATCACTTCGAGTTAGGAAATTGTCCTCTATAATACTTAGAAATTCCACGTAAGTTTTAGTATTAGTAGCATGACACTTCAAGTATGTCACTCAGTTTGAAGTCCCCCATGATAAGTTCCCCCCCCCCCCCGCATATTTTAGAAAGGTGCTTAAGGAACTGTTCATCCTGTAGTGCAATTTGGTGGCAGACAATACCCGTAGCCTGTGCTTTAACTATTAGACTAAGGATAGCTCAGTGGTTTAAGCATTGGCCTGCTTAAACCCAGGATTATGAGTTCAATCTTTGAGGGGGCCACTTAGGGATCGGGGGCAAAAATCAGTACTTGGTCCTGCTAGTGAAGGCAGGGGGCTGGACTCAATGACCTTTCAAGGTCCCTTCCAGCTCTAGGAGATAGGTATATCTCCATATATTTTAGAACATTGATATATAAGCACTCATGATCATTTGCTTCCTAGTTGTCAGTGATTTGGAAACAGGTTATATCACTTTTGACATAGAGTGCCACTCCCCATCCTTTTTGCTCATTTAATTCTTCTTAAATAGGTTATAATCAGTCATTTTTAGCATTCTAGTCATGTAAATCTCCCCACCAGGTTTCAGTAATCCCAGTTCCTAGCATTAGTGTATAGGAAATTAAAGAATATCTTCTCTTCATGTCCCTTGACACCTTGATTAATTTTGTACTTGACATCTTGATTTTGTGCTAAATTAATGTTCGTTTGTTCTCTTTTTCACATTCCCCTTTTGCTGCTATATTCTCCTGACTAGTACAGCCAATCTGCCCCCAAGAAAACTGGTTCCCCTTCCACTGGCATGGAGCCCATCCAAACTGTACAGTCCCCTTTCCCTATCGAAGGTGGCCCAGTATTCCACAAAACCCTTTACTTTACACAACTTAACTAACTAGCAGTTCACTTCCAGAATCTTCATTCCCTGGTAGGACCGGATCTCCTAGATCACTTGGACATTCCTCTTCTTCAGTGCCCATCAATGTTCTCTGAAGTCATCTATATTCTGGGAGGTATTGTGAGAACTACTGTATGAGTTGGCATGGTGAGTCTCACCTGGGGAAGATAGCAGAAGTGATCTAAATCAGCAATGAGGTGGACCCCTTGAAAAGACCGTGACACCTGAGGAGTCACTTTCATGATAAGCTTATTTTCACGCATTTAACTTTCTGTAAACATTCTTCTTTAGGCTGCAGTATCTTCTGTTTGCTCTGAGCCCACACATAGATTTTTATTTTCTTTTATTTTATGAAAGGTTGGTAAGATCCCATTTTACTATTTTTAGTTATCGGAGTGAGAATGGTCAGCAGTCAGGTAGACAGCCTTCTTCCTGCAGGGTTGTTCAGTGTAACCAGTAACTCCCTTCCCTGTAGTTGTGCTGTGAAAGCAAGCAAATGCCCCTTTCCATGAGGGCAGTTTGTTTAGTAATGGAGGGAATGAACGCTGTCCTGCACAGCAACTGTATCCTGAGGGTGAGGGATTGAACTTTCCAACCCCAGTGTGCCAGTTTTGTAACCACAGGAAAGAAACAAGTTTAACTCACAGGTGTAGGGACAGGCCTAGCAGAGGAGTGACCTTTCCAACCATCTCTTGAGCTCAGTGGAGCAGCCGCATAAGTGAGAATGTTATTTCTCTGCAGCCAGACAGCTATATTCCAGCAGTAAAAAGTGAACTTCTTCCCCCAGCTACAGAAACTCCTTTGCCTCACTACAGTGATTAAAATAAACCAGCTGCAGCAACACAGTGAGCAAGGCCCTAGCATGAACATGTGATGATGGGAGTTTTTCCTCTCTAGCCTGGGCAGGGCAGTGAGGGTGTTGTTTTTTGTTTCTACATAGCCCCAGAAGAGGAGACAAGACCAGCTTTAGGGGTACAGACGACAAGTAGCAACATGGGGCATAAAGAGGGAGGAGCATTAACCAATTCAAACCTCCCAATCTGACCCCCATTTACCAGGTTTTGAGGCACTATGTTGCTTGGGGCATCAAGTCTCCATAGCCATTCTTAGGTGAAGGGATGTCTCTGGCACAGTCAGAGCAGCCAGAGAATGGCCATCACGTAGTGCAGTGGCACAGTCTTTGTAAGCAAGGAATGAATAATTCCTAGTGTGGAGATAGTCACAAAAGCAAGGGAGTTCTCTGTCCAGCAAAAGCTCAAATAATCCTGAGCACAATAGGTACCACTTACAATGACGCAGTGACCAACGCCCAGCATGTCGGTGCGGTCCCCGTAGCGGTTAGACTGTAATTAAATGCTGTGGTGTCCCCAATAAAGGAATTAAGCACTGATGCTGTCATGACAAGGAAAGGGTTAAGCATGTAACTACCCAGTAGGTGCTAGAATAAGTGATGACTGTAGTGGGGAATGGGGGACACAGCTCAGGTCAGCATTAAGTGGGGCTTGGGTGAGTGGCTTGGGCTAGCCCCACACGGGGTCCCATTTTCCCTTTGGGAAGTATGGTCACCCTAGTTAAGTGTGGCCCTGGAACAAGAGCAGCCCCAGCAATGGTGGGGTTAAGCATGGTCCTGCCCTGGAGAAAGTTAAGTGAGGCTATGGTTCTAGAGTGGGTTAAATGCAGACCTAGCTCCAGTTCAGGAGCTGGCTAACTGAGGCCCTTTGCAGCAGGAAAGCAAAACGTAGAATCTTGAGTGAGCTCCACTCTGGTGCAACTAGTGTCATGCGTGGAACAGCCTGGGCGAGGAGAACACACGCTGTTCTTGCCTAGGAGGGCGCGTGGGTGTTGTAATTTAAGCACAGCTGCTTCAAATCTGGCATGGAGGAGTTAAAGGTGGGTCCGAGGGGGGCTTTGCTTTGACAATTGGAGGGGAAAGGTAAATACAGCTTTAGTCCCAGCATGGAGGGGATTAAGTGCAGTTCCGGGGGGAGGAGAGAGAGGACTAGATTAAGGCACACTGCTGCTGTTTGTCTCTCATCCCCCTCCCCTTGCAAAGAAGCCGGGCCCCCCATCTCCCTTCCAGGAGTGGCAGTAGCCGCCTGTCTCCCCTCCCCAAAGAGGCAGAGGTAGCAGCTGAGGGGCCCTAAGCAGCTTAGGCAGGTGGGCCAGGCCCCCCACGCCTTCCGCGGCACCACGCCGGGACGCTCTGCGGGGGGGTGGGCGAGGCAGAGCCGTAGGTCCACTCGGGGTCCCCGTCCCAGCTTTCCGTCGACCCCCGCAGCTGGACGAGCCCCGGCCCTGCTGGCTGCCCTCGCTCCGCCCTGGCGCGCAGGGGGTTAAGGGCTGCCGCGGGCGGGCGGGCGCGGCCCGGCAGGGAGGGGGTTAAGTGCCTGGCTGCTGCGGAGGCTGCCACTCGGCTCCGCGGCTCGCTTGGAGTCGGAGCCGCTCTAGCGGGAAGATGGCGACGGAGGGAGGGAGCGGGCAGCCCGGCTCCGGCGGCCAGGAGGAACCGGCGGGAACGGTAACTAGGCTGCGGGGACGGGGCGGCAATAGGGGCTCCGGCCGGGGCGGCGCTGGGCTGCGGCGGGGCGGCTGCGGGTCGCCTCGCAGTGCTACCAACGGGGGCGTGGAGCTCCCCGCAGCTCCCCGCGGTGGTTACCCGCCCTGCAGCCGGGCGCCCGGGCTGTAGCGGCCCGCGCTCTGCTCGGGGGCGCCGGGGCTCTCGGAGCCCGCCCGGACCGGGGGGGCGCCGGGCGGGAATTTGCGGGGCTCCTGTTGTGGCAGCGCCTGTGTGGGCGGGAGCTGGCGGCGCGGGGCTGGTGAGCTGCTCTGACCCGGTGCCGGGTGAGCGGGCCGGCTGCTGCTCGCTACGGCCAGGTCCCCGAGCAGCCCCTCGTGGCTCCGTCCCGGGGGTCGCGGTTTTCATACCGGGCAGGCTCGCATCTCGGGGGTTTCTCGGATGGCTGAGGGTTGTGTGCTTTATGCTGGATCCAGAGCCTGCGTGAGGCAAAAGCTGCGTGGTGGGGGGAGCAGGACGCAGCGCTTGATGCCAAGGCAGATTCATTTGCCTTGCTTCAAACGCTTTCAATAGGAAAGAATTGTCCCCGCTTAAAGAGCCAAGCCGGAGCTTTCCTTTCATGCTGACACACGCTATATCGGGGTTAAAAATCCCCGAATGACAGGCGGCTTTGCCTTCTTCTCTCTCCAGTTATGCTGATCAGTCTAACACGGCTAGACTGATTTTTTTTTGCTGTTGTGGCTGTTTCTCTTGGTTTTCTAACATACTGAAATCTATCGAGTCAATTTCTAGGGCATATGCCTGGGGATTTAAACCTGTAACTCCCATTAGTACAAATAAGAATTGCATGGCAAAATCTATAATCGATTTGTACCCCTAGAAGTTGTAAATATTAAATTTTCACTATGAGAAAATACATTGCTTAGCATATCAAAGCCCTTACATTTTACTTTTTTTTTTTATTGGATCTCTTGTGAGGGCATTGACCCAAGACTAGAAAAGAGCACGTTTTTCTGTGAAACTGCTTACAAAATTGTATATTAAATATTCCCTACATGTTTTTAATATCTTGCTGTATTTGTTTTTCAAATGAAAAATCTTTATGGACTCCATCCTAGGATTTGAATGGTGCTTCTGAAAATAACTTTTGCAAGATGTCAGTCCATAATATAACTAGTGTGTCAAACAAGTCTAAGTATTTTCAAATTAATATCCATAAAACTGTTCTGAATTGATATTGGCATACTATTGAGTCCTTTAAAGGGAACTTAAACTTAACTCAAGTTTATAGCTCTTATTTTAAATGTAAAAACTAAGAC